CTCTTGAGTTGAGTTCCTGATTCTCGTTCAGCGATGGGGAGCCACGTCGTGAAGGCTTCGAATGCTTGATCGCGTGTCTTGAGGTTGTAGTGCCAGACGTATCTTGTTGCTGCGTCGATGAATGTGATGACATAAGTTGAATTCTGCTTCACTGTCGTCTCGTGGCATATTTAAGATGTCGCTGTAAACGTTTTCCATCGGTGCGTATGCAGGTGCACTTGGATTGTGATGCGACGGAAAGGGTTGGTATGGAAGATCGGCTTCAGGACACGTGAAGCATCTGGCGCGAGTTCGTCGAAGCTCTTGTCCGCTTGTTGTGAGGAGAGCGTCCTTTTCTAATACTCCAGCTTGGATTGTTTGTAGAACTGTACTGTTTGCAGGGTGACCGAGGCGTTGGTGCCAGATGTCGTCAGGAGCGCGATGGCCGGGGGGAGCGCTGATACAAACTGGTGTTGGAGAAGAACGCGACGACTGTTGCGGGACTGCGGCAAACTCCTCTAGCGTTTGGCATGAGTTGGTCTGCTTCGGTTGGTGGCCCTCGAACTGCTGGTGATGGCACATGACTAGGTCCTGCTGCTGGTACTGCAGGTGATATTGCGGGTGAGACACTTGCTGGTACGTCTTTCTTGTCATATGACTACTAACGCTCGGGTCCTTTCTGCTGCAGGTATTGTGTTGGAGTACCAGAAACCATCTGGGGTAAAGTCAGGGTCAAGATCCGGCGGGTGCGTCCATGCGGCGAACGACACGATGCCATCGCTGTCGGCAGTACCGCGGTCGGGGACGAAATCCAACACGAAGACGCCCGACTTCAGGAGAGCGCGACCGATGAAGAGGCCGCCCTTCCCGTGGTAAAGGCGAAATTCGTTGGAGTCCGAGTCGCATTCCAGGTGAATCCCTTTTGCCGTTAACTGGCTGACGCTGAGTAAGTTGTATCCCAAGTTGTCGACGATTAGAACCTTGTTGAGTTGCAGTATGACGTTTGTCTCCATTGATTGAAGCTGAACGACGCCTTGTCTGTTTGTTTTCAGGTTCTCGTTGTTGGCGACGGTGATGATGACATCGCGGTTGAGACGTCGCTCTCGTTGCACGAAGCGCCCGGAAGAGCACATATGTTGGCCGCAACAACTGTCCAAGAACCAAGTGTTTCGCCCGGTGGGTTCGGCGTTGGCGACTGCAGCGTACGTTGGGTTGACCTGAAGTTCTTGTGAGCGCGGCGGCGACAGTTCTTCTCCGTCTGGAGCGTAAGTGGGTGGTGATTCGGGTGCGCAATTGTCGATGTGTACCATGCAGTTGATGATATTCGTTGTGCTTCGTGCAGATGTGGAGGAACGCCTCGGCGGGCTTTCTTGAGTGGAAGCGATTTGTGGGTCTACTGGACGGTAAGCTCGGGGGCATGTGCAGTTGACTTTGGAGTGTCCGGATGTTTGACAGTTGTGGCAAAACGACGGCACAATGGTGAGTCCTCTGTTGTCGCGTTGGTGTTGCTTGCCGCGTCGGTTGTAGTTGTTGTCGTTTCTTCGTTGAGTGTAGAAGACTAACGGTTGCTGTTTCCTTGGTTGGCTTTCTTCAAACAGGTCCATCTCCTGTTGTTCAGCATGAAGCTCGGCGTAGGTGGAAAGAAGAGCCCATCCCATGTCTTGGACCTCTTTCGGCTGCGGCAAAGAGCCCCATCCGCTGTAGCATGAGAAGCCGCATCAGCAGCAGCTGTAGCATCAGCTCCAGCACTGGCAGCGGTGGCAATAGCAATAGCAAGCTCTTCCAGTGAGCTAGAGCCCACCTGAGGCAAGAGGTACGTAGTCACCAGTTGGGAGGTGGGAGGGGCGGCCACCATCTGAGAGTGAGAGACATTGACCACCTGACATGCGACAGCGGCATTCGAGGCCGACACCATCTGAGCGTGTTTCAGCCGCAACAGCAACAGCTTCTCTGCAAGCCGCCCCTTCTTTCCACCTTTCACCTCCTCCCCCAACTGGCGACGCATCTGAAGCAGCCGGAACAAGAAGACCCCGAGGAACTAAATCGGGCACTACTCTACTTCGTCTCTACTCCGACGACCGGAATTACCTACAGTAAAGCAACGGCATCGTCCGTACAACTACTCGAATACGTCGACGCCGACCACGCGGGAGACAGGGAAAATCGACGCTCAAGGACGGGCTACATCTACCGACTAGAGCCTATCGGGACTATCTCATGGCAGTCGAGCAAACAGGAACTAATCGCACTATCTTCGGCTGAAGCAGAATATATCGCCCTCTGCACTGCGACCAAGGAAGGACTTTACCTGCGAGAGTTACTCGAGGAAGCAAAGATTGCAACCCTGCCCGTCTTCTCACTCTTCTGCGACAACCAATCTGCGATCAAAATCGCGAAGAAAGACGGTTTCGCCAACCGAACCAAGCACATCGCCCTGACCGTTACAACTGCAAGGATGGTAACCGAAGCGACAATCGAGTCGCTGTGCGACTCGATAACCGCTCTTTCAACTGTATTCTACAACTGCTTTACTTTCCTACTTTCTATATATTGCTGTATGCTTGTTCTTTTAATTAATCACTTGCTCTCACATACTAGTGCAAGGGTTCAACTACTCAACTTAAGTCGTCGAGACATTTCCAACAGAAGTCATTGTGTTGCCACTGGATGGGACACATAAAGCATATTAAGGCTTGCAATCAGGTCATTTATTGTCGTGTTAATCTCTGGTGAAAATATTCATTATACCACTAAGCCATAGAAATATGTGAGCAAATGGTGGAAATTGGAAACCATGGAAATTGATTGCAATTTGTAAGCCATGGAAATTGGTTTTTTTTCTTATGGTGGAAACTCTATCCCGTCGTGTATGCGCACATTAGATCACATGCTGGATCCAACTATTGGTGCTTCGTGCCCCCACCACCCATGCTCCCCCTCCCCCCTGCCACAATTTCACGCAACCCGGAAATCCCACGGCGGCGCACCCCACAATCTCAGCTTTGCACAACGGGAGGGGAGGGGAGCCCGCGCAGGACCGCACAAGGTCTGTGCGCGCGAGAATCTCCAGCCCCCACGTGGCATCCTCTGCTGTTGGTTGAAGTTGCACCCTGCGCCTGTCGGGAGAGCTCGATTACTCGAAGCACCTTACTAAACCGTACTGGAATCTAAGCGAACCGTCGTATATCGCAGATCGGAAAGCGACCCTTGTGGCGAGTAACTCCCCCTGCGCCGGGTGTTGTGTGGGGCGCAACCACTTCGAAAACTCCGGGCCTGGAGAACTCCTCTGCTGCTCTTTAGCACATCCCCCCCCCCCGCCATTGTCACAACACAACGTTCACCTACCTCCGATCACCACACTCGCCGCGAGTCCCGCCGTCTTTCCCGTCGACGCACCTCCACCCCGCCAGATCTCGCCACTTCCCTCGCCGACATGGGTGCTGCTCACAAGATCGCTGCTCACGGCGCGGCTGTCGCCAAGAAGGGCGGCCCGAGCGTTATCTTCGAAATAGCCGCCGGCCTTAGCCTCGGCGTCGCAGGTCCGTCCATCAGCATCGCTTCTAACGCTTTCCTGAAGTCTTCTCGACGCCGTCAACGTATCAAGCCCGCTCTTTGCGCGACCGTCTCCACCCTGTCTTCTCCTGACGTTCCTCGTGGAACTCTCAATGGTCGCGTTCTCATCTTTCACTATATCTCGGGCTTCTAGCAGTTGTGCATGTACTACTAGTTCAGAGGCGTTTCAAAACCGTTTTCAGTATTTGCTCGTACACTGCTCGTGAGGTGACCTTCGCTGAAGGATGGAAACGCGACCCTTGAGAGATTGAGGAGGATTTTTTTGAGTTCTTGTGTGATACTCGTAGGATGACACTCGCTTCGTGTCAGGCGTATCATTCTGGAAGACCGGTCGTATCAACGTTAACGGTCTCATTTGCATCCTCATCCTTCTCCCCCGGTTCGCTGCAGGCGGGTCGATGTGGAAGACGACTCACATCAACGTTAACGGTCTCATTTGCATTCTCATTCCTTTATTTAGTTTCCGCCGTTTTTTGCAGGGGGGTCGATGTGGAAGATGTGTCATATCAACGTTAACAATCCCCCCCCCCCCCCCCCCCCCTTCTCTCTCCCCCATTTGCATTGCATCCTCATTTCTCTCCCCCCTCTCTCTCTCTAAGGCGGGGCGATGTGGAAGAAGGCTCACATCACATCAACGTTAACAATCTCATTTGCATTGCATCCTCATTCTTCCCCCCCCCGCCGCTCGCTGCAGGCGGGGCGATGTGGAAGATGTATCACCTCAACTTGAAGCGCAAGACGGAGGAGCTGTACAGCTCGCTGGAAAAGGGTGAACTCACCGTCAGCGGCAGCCAGTAACGAGACCAGCCAGTAACGAGTATGTAACGCGAGACCGGCTAGTAACGAGCATGTATATCGACGAACAGCTCTGTGCTCTGTGCTCTGGCATCCACCACCGTATTTCCAGGCTCCAGCCCGTTATCCCAACAAGCAAGCTTCTCTGCTAACTCACCAGCAGCAATCAGGCACATGCTGTTCTCGCCCTCGCCTTGTATGGCCCCCCTGCACCGCATCCTTGTTAAAGTAACATCGCCTTGCGTGTCAACCCTGCATGCCATTCGCATTTGCTTTCTGTCCACAGCAGATCAGGAGGCCCTCATGGAACTGGTAGAAGACATCCCTACCGTACATTTGATCTGTGGCTATGAGACCTAAGAACCAGCAGCATTCGTCTCCCGTTAGAAGCATTCGCTCCACAGAGTCCCCTTTGGTACTGTAGCGCCCTGCTGCGCCGTGGCCCGTGGTCTGTGCTGTGCGCATCTCCTGTGCTGTACTGATATGATACTCGGTCACGCCCTGTCCTTTGGCTGGCAGCATTTCTTTCCATGGGTAGTGGACCGTGTTGTGGTGCAGCTTTGTTAAGATTCCGCCAATATGATTTTATGAAGACCACAGGATGGGTGCTTTGGTTTGGTTTGGAGGCCCACCAGCAAACCACTACAGAAAGCCATTGATAGTGTTAGGGAATTAAGAAGCTGCAATGCATAAAAGCACCGTAAGAAATCCTACAGGTTACAACCAGATTGCGAACTTGCTGTAGGCCAGCAGTGGCAAAGTTTCAATCAAACCTCTACAGTCTACTGATGGCCGACCTGACCGCTGACGCTGTTACGGTACGGGAAGTTGAGACGCCGTCTGTCGCCACATCACCGTAAGGAACCAGCTGCTGCGTTGCACTCGAAAGCGTAAATACGGTACTCCAACAAAACCTACACCTATCTCTCCCTCCACCTGAGTTGGAAGCCCCCTACCTGAGTTGCCTGTATGTGCTCACTTCCTGTCACCCATCCTCTCTCCTCTCCTGCATTCACCTCCTCCTATGCTTTCTCCTGCTGTACTGCTTCCCTCCTCCTCCCCCATCCCCCCATACCTGCTCTTCCGCCAATCCCTCCTTTTCCCCGGGTTTTCGACCCACAATCTCCTTGTTATTACTAGCACCCCTGCCCTTCTCTGCCACGTGTCTCCCCCCTCTTCTTACTCGCTCCTCCCCTCTCATGCCCTCCTGCCCTCCTGCCTCCTCCTCTGCATCTTCCTTTCCACCTTCCTCCTCACTCTCCTCCTCGCTATCCTCCTCCTCGTCCTCGTCCTCCGAACTTTCCTCCTCCTTCCGTCTCCTCTTGGGGGGCCTCCCCCTACCTCGAGGCTTCCCAACCTTTCTCTTTCCCGGTCTGCTCTTCAAAGCCAGTCTCCCTCTCCCCCTCTTCTCCTCACTCCCTCTCTCACTCCCCCTCCCCCTCCCCCTCCCACTCCTCTCCACACTACCCCTTTCAACCCCTTCTTCTCTCCCACCACCCTCTTGGTTTTCCTCAAGTGTTTCTTCCTCCTCCTCCTCCTCTTCCTCATCCTTATCCCCATCCCCATTCCCATGCCCATGCCCATGCCCATCCCCATCCCCATGCCCATCCCCATCCCCATCCCCATCTCCCTCTTCCCCCTTCCACCTCTCCGATAGCAACTTCCTAGTGCTGGATAAATGCCAGATTCTCAGGTTTACTCCTTCCACTCGGGTCTCATCTTGCACTTTGGGAGGAACAGGAGAGGCCTTGTCAGCTGCCCGGGGAGATGCCCGATGGCCCATTCTCCTCCCTCCGCATTCGCCATTCTTGCCACCAAGTGGTGGCTTCACACCTTGAGGCCTCTTCGCGCCTTGTGAAGTCTTTGCCGCTGCCTTACGCGATCGCAGCACGCGATTGGCTCCCAGGCAGGCAGCGACTAGCTCTGCTGACATGGCATTGGCGGTAGGGTCTGCTGATGTGGAAGGTATGACACGTTCCGCTGACGTGGCACTGACTGCATGGACTTTTGTTGTGGGAGTGGGGATAAGCTTAGGTGATGTGGCAGGTGTGGTCAAATCAAGTGATGCTGATGTGGCAGGAACTCCTGCTGCCAATCTCTCACCACTTCCCTCAGCTGCTGCGTCTGTTGGAATCCCCTGACTCCCTGACTGCTTCTCAGGTGGAATCCGACCACCAGGTGAGACTTCAGGTCGAAACAGTGAACCAGGTGAAGCAGCAGCTGTAGCGGTAGCTGTAGCAGCAGCTGAGGGAGCACCAAGCTGCAGCAGGGTTGTGGCCAGAGGCAATGCAGGACGAGCTAGGATGAACCCATGTGCCACAGTGCGCCGCCCGGCGTGGGGCCGGCAACGAGCGGCAGGCAGCGGAGCTGCTGAGTCCATATCAACAGCTTCATCCTTTACAGTCACAATAGTGGGTTCACCACCAAGAGTCCCAGTGCGGTGGGGATCATCCTTTACAGTCACAGTCCTGTGAGGTTCATGCTCTACAGTCACAGTAGTAGGCTCTTCCTTCGCTGTTATCACCTTGATGCAATCTTCCACTGGAGCAGCAGCTGGTAGAGCGGGTGGGGAAGGAGCAGCACGAGGAAGAGGAGGAGGAGGAGGAGGAGGAGGAGGAGGAGGAGGAGGAGGAGGAGGAGGAGGAGGAGGAGGAGGAGGAGGAGGAGGAGGAGGAGGAGGAGGAGGAGGAGGAGGAGGAGGAGGAGGAGGAGGAGGAGGAGGAGGAGGAGGAGGAGGAGGAGGAGGAGGAGGAGGAGGAAGAGCAGGAGGGGGAGGAGAGAGAGGAGGAGGTGCAAGAGGAGCAAGAACAGGGGATGGGGTGGGATGTGGGGATGGTGGGGGGTGTGGGGATAGTGGGGGGTGTGGGGATGGTGGGGGGTGTGGGGATGGTGGGGGGTGTGGGGATGGTGGGGGGTGTGGGGATGGTGGGGGGTGTGGGGATGGTGGGGGGTGTGGGGATGGTGGGGGGTGTGGGGATGGTGGGGGGTGTAGGGATGGAACGACGTCAGTAGGAGCAGCCGCACGAGTGGGTGAACGAGGGGAGGGAGGAGGCGGACGTCGAGGGGAGAGATGAAGAGGAGGAGGAATAGGAAGGGGAGGGGAAACATCAAGACTACTGCCGGCTGCTCTTTCGCCTCTCCCCTCCACCCTCTCCCCTGCATCTGCTCTCTCTCCTATTTCCGCAGCCTCTGGCACACTAGCTAGATCTACCACATCTGTGCCTTTCCCTCTGTCAATCCCGCCACTGTTACTAGCCTCTCCCTTATTATCACACTCCTGATTGCCATCAGTAGCTTGCCGCACACTACTCTTGCCTTTCCTCCTGCGCATCCCCCGACCACTGCCGAACCTCCTAACCGAACCCGATTCCTCGTAGGTCTGGCGCGGTCCTTTACCGAACCTGGACTTCCGAGCCAGCTTGCTTCGGGGGCGTTTTGGGTGGTTTTCAAGCCTGTGAAGCAGCAGCACCGGCGAGATCTCCTCGCCGAACCTGAGCCCCTCTTCCAGTCTGGTTCGGCCGAACCCGAATCTGCCAAGGCTAGCCCTTCGCACAGGCCTGCTGCTGGTAACACCGAGGCTGCTGCTGCCGAGCCTGTTCTCACCAAGCCTACTGTCACTCGGACTAGTACCTGCATTGTCAGCAGAGGTGTCAGGTTTGACTGGAGAGGCATCACTCTCAGGGCTGCGAGTAACGCACTTCTTCAAGTCAGGTTCGACTCGATCGAGTCTTCTTCTCTTCCTCCCCACCGTTTCCCCCTCTGGCTCAGCTGCTATATAGACGTCCCCTCTCCCTTCCTGTACTTCTTGTTCACCCTCTTCCCCCTCCACTTTCCCTCCCCCATCAACCTCCCTTCCTTCCCCTTCACCCCTCTCCCTCCCCCCATGGCCTCTTTACCCCCTCCTCCTCCTCCTCCTCCTCCTCCCCGTTTCGCCCCCCATCCACGTCCTTCGCCTCCCTCACCCCGTCCCTGTCACCAGCTGTATCTCTACCCTCCTCTTCCATTGCCGCTTCCCTCTCATCCTCTTCCTTCCCTCCCCTTCACTCTCCTCCTTCCCCTCCCCCTCACTCTCCTCCTTCCCCTCCCCCTCACTCTCCTCCTTCCCCTCCCCCTCACTCTTCTCCTTCCCCTCCCCTTCACTCTCCTCCTTTACCTCCCAGTCACTCTCCTCCTTCCCCTCCCCTTCACTCTTCTCCTTCCCCTCCCCTCACTCTCCTCCTTCCCCTCCCCATCACTCTCCTCCTTCCCCTCCCCCTCACTCTCCTCCTTCCCCTCCCCCTCACTCTCCTCCTTCCCCTCCCCTTCACTCTCCTCCTTTACCTCCCAGTCACTCTCCTCCTTCCCCTCCCCTTCACTCTTCTCCTTCCCCTCCCCCTCACTCTCCTCCTTCCCCTCCCCATCACTCTCCTCCTTCCCCTCCCCCTTCTCCTCCTTCCCCTCCCCCTCACTCTCCTCCTTCCCCTCCCCTTCACTCTCCTCCTTCCCCTCCCCCTCACTCTCCTCCTTCCCCTCCCCCTCACTCTCCTCCTTCCCCTCCCCTTCACTCTCCTCCTTCCCCTCCCCCTCACTCTCCTCCTTCCCCTCCCCTTCACTCTCCTCCTTCCCTCCCCCTCACTCTCCTCCTTCCCCTCCCCATCACTCTCCTCCTTCCCCTCCCCCTCACTCTCCTCCTTCCCCTCCCCCTCACTCTCCTCCTTCCCCTCCCCATCACTCTCCTCCTTCCCTCCCCTTTCTCCTCCTTCCCCTCCCCCTCACTCTCCTCCTTCCCCTCCCCTTCACTCTCCTCCTTCCCCTCCCTTCACTCTTCTCCTTCCCCTCCCCCTCACTCTCCTCCTTCCCCTCCCCATCACTCTCCTCCTTCCCCTCCCCCTTCTCCTCCTTCCCCTCCCCCTCACTCTCCTCCTTCCCCTCCCCTTCACTCTCCTCCTTCCCCTCCCCCTCACTCTCCTCCTTCCCCTCCCCATCACTCTCCTCCTTCCCCTCCCCCTCACTCTCCTCCTTCCCCTCCCCCTCACTCTCCTCCTTCCCCTCCCTTCACTCTCCTCCTTCCCCTCCCCCTTCTCCTCCTTCCCCTCCCCCTCACTCTCCTCCTTCCCCTCCCCTTCACTCTCCTCCTTCCCCTCCCCTCACTCTCCTCCTTTACCTCCCCCTCACTCTCCTCCTTCCCCTCGTCAACCCCTCTCTCATCCACACCCCCCTCCTTACCATCCCTCCTTTCCTCCCCCCACATCCCTTCGTCTTCCTGTATCTTGATTTCCTCCTCTTGTCTGCTTTCTTCCTCTTGTCTGCTTTCTTCCTCTTGTCTGCTTTCTTCCTCTTGTCCCCCTTCCTCCGCACCATGCCCGATCTCATCACCAATCATACGCTTTATCTCGAGACCCTCCATAACCTCCTCCTTCACTTGCTCCTTCACTTCCTCCTCCACTTCCTCCTTCACTTCCTCCTTCACATCCTCCTTCACTTGCTCCTTCACTTCCTCCCTCACTTGCTCCTTCACCTCCTCCTTCACTTGCTCCTTCACTTGCTCCTTCACTTGCTCCTTCACATCCTCCTCCACAGCGCCATCATCTAATTCCCCTTCGTGGGCACCGGGCCTTACACCCTCCCTTCCCGCACAACCCGTCCAATGCTGTTCGCTTTCACCCTCTCCACCTCCCTCCTCTTTCTTCACATCAGATTTCTCCCTCCACGCCTTCTTCTCCTTCCTCCCTTCGTTTCCTTCCCCTCACCTCCCTTACTCCCCTCTTTCACCTCACTTCCCTCGCTGATCTCATCCCTCCCCTCTCTCTCCTCCCTCTCATCCCTCTCCTCCCTCCTCTCCTTTTCCTCTCCCTCCTCCTCTCGTTCTCCCTTCTGTAAGGTCAATGCTGGCGCGCTTGCCCTCTGACCCTCCCCTCCTGCCGTCTGACCCTCCCCTCCTGCCGTCTGACCCTCCCCTCCTGCCGTCTCACCCTCCCCTCCTGCCATCTCACCCTCCCCTCCTGCCGTCTGACCCTCCCCTCCTGCTGTCTCACCCTCCCCGTCCAACCCAATCTGACTCCGAAATTCCTTATGCTCACTCGCTCCAGGCACGTCTGCCATGCAACTTCCACCCCCACTCCATCCCTCAACCCACTCCTGCCACTCCCCTCTCTCACTCCCCGCCACACCCCATTCCATGCCGCCAGCTCCCCAAACCCCACCATGCGCCGTGGCACTTCAGAGCCATTTCCCACCCCCCGCCATTTTCTTCCCATAGGCTCCGCAGGCCCTGCCCCCCACCGCTGCTGCTTCCCCTTTGCCGCTCGAGTGAATCCAAAGTGCACAAGACGGCCAAGACTGCATTCGGGGTCTGAAGCAAGCCCTGGAACCGGCTCAGGGCCTCCTGCGTCTGGTGTTGTCGCTGCTGCTGCTGCTGCGTCTGGTGCCATGTCAGCTTCTGGAACCAATACCTGTTTGGCTGGGCCAGTTTCTCGGATCGCTGCCTCTGTGCCTGCACCTGCTGCTTCTAACCCTGCCCGTCCCTCCTCCTGACCAGCAGCATCACTGACAGCGGCAGCAGCAGCGGCAGCAGCAGCAGCGGCGGCAGCAGCAGCAGCAGCAGCACGGGCAGCAGCTGCAAGCGTCTGTCGCACAAATGCTGCCATAGAAGCCACCACTGCTGCTGCGGCTGACGCTGCCACTGCAGCCCCTGCTGCTGCCTCTACCTCCTCTGCTGCAATATCCCCTGCTCCCACCCGTCCCCTCCCCATGCCTCCACTCCTCATGCCTCCTGCCCACCCATCCTCTGCTGCTGCTGCTGCTGCTGTTGCCACTGTTGCTGCTCCGGCTGCTGCTGCCCCTGCTGCTGCCCCTACCTCCACTGCTGCAACACCGCCTGCTTCAAACCGTCCCCTCCCCATGCCTCCTGCCCACCTATCCTCTGCTATTCGCTCGACTGCTCCCAGGCCCCCTGCTGATCCGACTGCTTCCGTTTCTTCCCTCCCTGCTGCCTCCCACCTCTCCAGCACTGCTTTGCGTTCCAGGAACCATTTCTTGGTCCGCCCTCTGCTTCCTTCCACCCCTTGCTGCTCCAGTTGCTGCTCCTGTTGCTGCTCCGGTTGCTGCCCCGGTTGCTGCTCCACTTGCTGCTCCACTTGCTGCTCCTCCACTTGCTCCTCGTGCTGATGCTTCTCTAGGTAATCCTTGCCCTGTCTCCCCATGTTCCCAAGTCCAACTTCCCCCTCGCCCCCTTCAACCATATCCTTCTCACACTCTCCCTTCTCCTCCTCTCCCTTCTCCTCTCCCTTGTCCTCTCCCTTCTCCTCAGTTCCTTTCTCCTCCTCTCCCTTCTCATCCTCGCCTTCGTTCTCCTCCTCGCTCTTCATTTTTTGTCCTCTCCTCTCCTCCTCCCGACCCTCCAAGCCCATTGTGTCAAGAGCGTCGTCATCGCCCACAGTTGGTGTTTGAGATTTCTCAAGGTCACTTCCCTCCACCTCCATTCCCCACCGCTCCTCCCCGTCTCTCCCAAATCCTCCCACCCCCGCTTCCTCATCCTTCGCCTCACCAACCTCCACCTCGCCTTCCTCCTCCCCTCTCTCCTTCCTCACTCGAATCACCTCCTGAGATGCTCCAAGCCGTACCACCACCCATCTTCCCCTCTCCTCCCTTCCATTCTCCTTCAATGCACCGATCTCCCTGCCCCTCTTCCTCCTCTCTCCTTCACTCTCTCCCATCCCACCCTCTTCCTTACCTGCTACGCGCACATCCATCCTTCCATCCTCCTCTGTCCTACCCTCCTCCGCCCCCCCTTGCCTCTTCTCCTCCACCTCCTCATCCTCCTCTCCCTTCTTCCCCTCCCCCCCCTCCTGCCCCTTCACCCCCCTCCTGCCCCTCTTCCTCACCCCCCACCCAGCAGCTGTTTTCACTCGCTTCCGCTTCTGCCCCACACGCCCTTTCCCATTCACCGCCCCTTCTCTCTCATCTCCCCCCACCCCTTCGCCTGCTTCCCTCTCAGTTCCCCCCTCGCCAAACGGCCATGCCACAACCTCCCTACCAGTGCCGGTCTCAAGTGAATGGTTAGCCATCTCATTGGAATTCAGAGCTATCTCATGTGAACGTTGACTCATCTCATCCTGCCACACGATAGCAACCAGCACAGGCGCTCTCCCTGCATATCCCAACGCCCCTACTACACCTGGAGACGCAATAACACGACCATCACCATCCCCATCACCAGGAGCATCGCGGCCACCATTCTCCACTGCTGTAGCCGGCCAGGGCAGTGCAGGGCAGGTGTCGAGAGATCTAGATAGTTCTGCAACTGGCCAGAGCTGTATAGAGCAGGTGTCGAGAGACCTAGACAGCTCGGACGCTGGCCACGGCCATGCGGACCAAGGCTCCTTGCCAAACACAGTCAGCGTTTCACCACTCCCTCTGCTTGTGCTGTCTCGGCTGTCGTTCTGGGTGCCGTCTCGAATGCCGGCTTGGGTGTCGTCTTGGGTGTCATTCTTGACATCAGTTGCCTCTTGGGTAGACTGTATAGGAGCCGTGCTGTTCGCATCACCACCAGCAGCATCGCCTGCACCAGTAGAGCCTTCACCCACTCCAGCAGCTGTGTCACAAGCACCTGGAGCAGCAGCAGCAGCACCTGAAGCAGCCGGGTGTGTCGCCTCATTCTTCACTTGCTTCCGCGGTCTGCCTCTCCCTCTCTTGGCCTTGCTACGTGTGGTTCTTGCTGCTGCTACTGCTTCTGTTCCTGCTTCTGTTCCTGCCCTTCCTGTTGCTGCTGTTGCTGCTGCCTTCTCTGTTTCCGTTGCTCCTGTTGCTGCTGCTGCTGCTGCTGCTGTTGATACTTTGGCTCGGGTTACTGCTGCTGCTCCAGTTGCTGCTGTTGTGGCGGTCGTGGCATCAAAAGGAACAGCGGCAGCAGCAGCAGCAGCAGCAGCGGCAGCAGGAGATGGAAGAGGAGAAAGGAGGGGAGGAGAGGGGGGACGCAGAAGTGCGTTGGAGGGTTGGGACATGGGTATTTCTGGTGCGACAAGGGGAGGTGGAGAGGAGGATGGATGAAGGGAGATGGGTTGAGGCGGGGACATGGTTTGAGGTGGAGAGATGGGTTGAGGAGGGGGGGAGATGGGATGGGGCGTTGGGTGGTCTTCAGGCAGCAGCATCTCGGTGACGATGGAGAAGAGCCGGCGGCGCAGTGACGAAGCCTCACACGCCTGGAACCAGTCGTTGCTCAGCTGGCCATGGAGGGATGGGGGAGGGGGGGGGGGAGGAAGGGGGGAGGGGAAGGAAGGGGGGGAGGGGAGGGGAAGGAAGGGGGGAGGGGAGGGGAAGGAAGAGGGGGCGGGGAGGGGAAGGAAGGGGGGGAGGGGAGGGGAAACAGGTTGGGCATTGTGACTGGTTCAGCTGGTGGGTGGTCTTCAGGGAGCAGCATCTCAGTGACGATGGAGAAGAGCCGGCGGCGCAGTGACGACGCCTCACACGCCTGGAACCAGTCGTTGCTCAGCTGGTGATAGAGGGGGGGGCGGGGGGGTTTGGGGTGGTGGGGTTTGTGGTGGGGCGCTGGGAGGTCTTGAGGCAGTAGCATCTTGGTTACGACGCCTCACACGCCTGGAACCAGTAGTTGCTCAGCTGGCGGCGAATGCGGGGATGGACAAGGGGCGCGCGAGGATGGGAATATGTGAATGCAGGAATCCATATCCCCTTTGTCTGCTGAATAAGCATTCTGCTGCTGCACCCTGCATCTTGACCCAACTCAAGTCTGAAGTCTCTAAGGTTGGAGGCTACAACCCCACCAGCTGAGCCCAAGAGAGCAGTGGCAAAGCGAGCAGTTTCATCTTCCATGAGCTCTTGGTGACTTTTGAGTTGACTCATTCAGACTCAAAATTCAGCGAGCAGTTTAATCTACGATGAGCTCATGGTGACTTTTGAGTTGACTCATTCAGACTCAAAAATCAGCGAGCAGTTTAATCTACGATGAGCTCATGGTGACTTTTGAGTTGACTCATTCAGACTCAAAATTCAGCGAGCAGTTTAATCTACGATGAGCTCATGGTGACTTTTGAGTTGACTCATTCAGACTCAAAATTCAGCGAGCAGTTTAATCTACGATGAGCTCATGGTGACTTTTGAGTTGACTCATTCAGACTCAAAATTCAGCGAGCAGTTTAATCTACGATGAGCTCATGGTGACTTTTGAGTTGACTCATTCAGACTCAAAATTCAGCGAGCAGTTTAATCTGCGATGGGCTCATGGTGACTTTTGCTGACTCAAAAGCCAGCGAGCGGTTTCATCTTCCATGCGCTGATGGTGACTTTTGACTCTCGAAATTCGACTCCTTCAGTCTGAAGCCTCTCCTCTTGTGTGCAACTAAGAGCCTACCAAACAGCCACCGCTCACCTTGTCTGCCACACCGTCAGCAGAGCGCGGCAGGGCAGCGGCTATTTGAGCGAATTTCTGGATGTAGCAGAGGATGAAGCAGCCGCAGTCATAGTCGTTGTCCTGCTCTGGCACCTGAGGTGGAGATAGGTGGTATTGGGAGCACAGAGGGCATTGGGCAGAGGGATCAAAGGGTGTGCTAAGGGAGATCGATGAGACTTCAGGATGCGGCTGAGGATGAAGCAGCCGCAGTCATAGTCGTTGTCCTGCGCTGGCACCAGGTCACTCAGGATGGAACAGAAGCATTGGGCATGGCATACGGCAAGCGGAGGCTTTGCGATTTAACAGGGGGCATGTGGATAGTGGCACGGCAAGTGCTGCCTGTTCAATCCAGGGGCAGATGTTTGGGGCGCCTCAAAAATAGACTACATAAGGCAAGCGGAGGGTTTGTGACTGAACAGGGGGCATATGGCATGGCAAGGGGTGTCTGTTCAATCCAGGGGCATTAGGCATTGCATACACTTGACTTTCTACCTTGACTTTCTACCTTGACTTTCTACCTTGACTTTCTACCTTGACTTTCTACCTTGACTTTCTACCCATTGAGCCTCTCACAGAAATCAGGAGGGCTTACCTTGACTTTCTTCCCCCGCACTTTGCTGAACGGCCCAGATTGCAGCGGCTTCTTGGGATCCAACGGCTCCCTGCTCCTCTTCATCCACTCGGCCTGCAGATAGCTGGGGGAGAGAGGCGCAGGACAACAAAAACGGAAGGTATTGAGTTGAGGATCAAGAGTGGAAAAATGAGAAGATAGAGAAACTCACACGTGGAGGGAAATTATTTACGTATACATATGTACATGTATAAAAACCGTTTAAAGCTGTAGAACTTAGGTCAACATTAAATTTCACACTCACAACTTGAGGGCGTGTGACTTGGAGCTGTCGGGCAGCGAGTCCAGGTACAGAGCTGGCTGTTCCTGGTTAGGGCTACATGGGAAGCACCTAAAGACTCTATCAAACTCACAACTTGAGGGCGCTGTAGATGGCATGTGACTTGGAGCTGTCAGGCAGCGAGTCCACTGTCCAGGTACGTCGCCTCCCTGCTCCCCTGCACTCCCTTCCCCACCATTGCAACAGTCCAACTCACAACTTGATGGCGCTGTAGATGGCATGTGACTTGGAGCTGTCAGGCAGCGAGTCCACTGTCCAGGTACGTCGCCTCCCTGCTCCCCTGCACTCCCTTCCCCACCATTGCAACAGTCCAACTCACAACTTGATGGCGCTGTAGATGGCATGTGACTCACAACTTGATGGCGCTGTATATGGCGTGTGACTCACAATTTGATGGCACTGTAGATGGCGTGTGACTCACAACTTGATGGCGCTGTAGGTGGCGTGTGACTCACAACTTGATGGCGCTGTAGATGGCGTCTGACTCACAACTTGATGGCACTGTAGATGGCGTGTGACTCACAACTTGATGGCGCTGTAGATGGCGTGTGACTCACAACTTGATGGCGCTGTAGATGGCATGTGACTTGGAGCTGTCGGGCAGCGAGTCCAGGTACAGAATGGTCGCCTCCCTGCCACCATTCGGCCCCGTCACCAGCTCCAACACATCCTCCCCACCACTGCCCCCTCCCCCTCCTCTTCCTCCTCCTCCTCTTCCCCATTCTCCAATGCTTTCCTGCTGAACCTTCCCTTTGCGCCCCTCTGCTGCCTCCCCCTCCTCCTCTGCCCCCCACCTGAACCCGCCTTCCTCTACCCGCTCCCCTCTGCCCTTGCCCTCTTATGGCTTTTCTGCTCAGTCCTCTGCCTCTTGCCCGTCCCCCTCTCGCCTGCGCAGCCGTTCCCGAATGGCCCCTGCGCCCTCCCCTGCCGCCGTCTCCCCGCAAGGTTCTAAACACTATCTCCTTCACATCATCATCATCATCGTCATCATCATCATCATCGTCGTCGTCATCAGCCTCATCATCCCCAGTATCAGCATCATCAGCATCACCACCACCACCATCACCAGCATACTTAGCACCATCAGCATCGTCCAATCCAAGTTTCCAGCTGCCGGCTTGCCTCGCCTTCGCACCACCATAACCATCCGCCTCCTTCTCATTGTCCTCCTCATTGTCCTCATTGTCCTCCTCATTGTCCTCCTCATTGTCCTCCTCATGCATTCCTTCAATCTCTTCCTCGCCCTCCTCTTCCTCTCCCTCCTCCTCTTCTTCCCCCTCCTCTTCTTCTTCCCCTCCTCTTCTTCTTCCCCCCCCTCCTCTTCTTCCCCCTCCTCCTCTTTTTCCCCCTCCTCCTCTTCTTCCTCCTCCGCCGCTTCTCCCCGGCCCACTCCATTCACTCCTCCATCTTCCTCTCTCACCTCCTCTACCCCTTCCCCCTCATGCTTCCCCTCATCGCCCTCCTCATACCCTTCATAAGCAGCCCCATCATCCTCGCTACTATCAGATACCGCCTCCCCCAGCTCAACCCGCCCCTCCATGCCTCCTCTCTCTTCCACAGATCCCCCATCTCGCTCCCCTTCACCATCCTGCCCCTCCTTGCTTCCCGTCCCGTTTTCCCCACCCTTCCCCATCTCCCCCTCCCTCACCTCGCCCTGACCCCTCCCCTCCTCACTGCTCCCTGCCTTTCCACGCAACTCTTGAGTCGATTCAGATGCCATCCGCTTCCCATGCTCCCCGCTTCTCTCCCCTTCCCGCTTCTCACAGAACCCCCCACGGGTCCCCTCAGCAGCAGCATAAACGCAGTCCCCCCCACGGGTCCCCTCAGCAGCAGCAGCAGCAGCAGCATCAACGCAGACCCCCCCACGAGTCCCCTCAGCAGAAACAGCAGCAGCAGCACAGACCCCCTCACAAATCCCCTCAGCAGCACTGACATGGAGACCTGCACCTGCATTGCCCAGGGACTGGGGCTCTACGGCTGGTGCCTTTTGAGTTGACTCAGAAGCGACCCCCTCACGAGTCCCCTCAGCAGCACTGACACAGAGGCCCGCGCCTGCCTTGCCCAGGGGCTGTGGCTCTACCGGTGGTGCCCCCATCAGCAGCTGCAGAGCAGACATTCCGCGACCAGGTGCTTCTGGTGCAGGTGATTCTGGCGCAGGTGGTTCTGGTGCAGGTGATTCTGGTGCAGGCGATTCTGGTGCAGGTGCTTCTGGTGCAGGTGATTCTGCTGCAGGTGATTCTGGTGCAGGTGCTTCTGGTGCAGGTGCTTCTGGTGCAGATGATTCTGGCGCAGGTGGTTCTGTTGCAGGTGATTCTGGTGCAGGCGATTCTGGTGCAGGTGATTCTGGTGCAGGTGGTTTTGGTGCAGGTGGTTCTGGTGCAGGTGGTTCTGATGCAGGTGATTTTGGTGCAGGTGGTTCTGTTGCAGGTGATTCTGGTGCAGGTGGTTCTGATGCAGGTGATTCTGGCGCAGGTGGTTCTGGTGGAGGTGCTTCTGGCGCAGGTGATTCTGGTGCATGTGGTTCTGGTGCAAGTGGTTCTGATGCAGGTGGTTCTGGTGCAGGTGGTTCTGATGCAGGTGATTCTGGTGCAGGTGGTTCTGGTGCAGGTGGTTCTGATGCAGGTGATTCTGGTGCAGGTGATTCTGGTGCAGGAGCTACAACAGCAATTGGCACATCCATCCTTACATCTCGCCGCCCTTCCTCCACCTCCCCCTCCCTCGTCTCCTCCTCCACCTTCCCCTTCCTTGCTTCCTCCTCCTTCACCTCTCTCTCCTCGTTCACCTCACACTCCCCTTTCCCCCCACTCTCCTCTTTCCCCCCACTCTCCTCTTTCCCCCCGCACTCCATAAGTTTTCCCTCCTCACACTCTTCCGTCCACCCCTCCTCCTTCACGCCTTCCTCCCCTTCCTCTTTCACCCCACCCTCTCTCTCCTCTTCCCTGTTCACTCCTTCCTCCTCTTCCTCTTTCACCCCTTCCCCTTTCGCCCCTTCCTCCTTCACCCCTTCCTCGTTCACCCCTTTCCCTTTCTCCTCTCCCTCTTTCACTCCTACTTCATTCACCCCTTCCTCACTCACTCCTTCCTCACTCACTCCTTCCTCACTCACTCCTTCCTCACTCACTCCTTCCTCTCTCACTCCTTCCTCTTTCACGCCGGCCTTCCTTACCCCTTCCCATTCTAAACCTTCCTCGTCAACCCCTTCCCCTTCCTCAAGCACCTCATCCTCTCTTACCTCCTCCTCATGCTCCACTCCCTCCTCCATCGCCCCTTCCAGCCTCACCCCATATGCCACAATCGCTGCCTCCCCATTCTCCTTTTGCCCCATGCCAGCAGCTCCCGTCTTCTCTCCAGCCATCGCCCTGTTTGTGATTTGTGCATCATCCGCAGCTCCTGTTGGCGCGCCACTTTCTTTCCTTATATCACCTCCCTCCCTTGTATCACCTCCCACCATCGTACCACCCTCTTCCCTTGTAATAACCTCCTCCCTTGTAACACCCCCCCCCTTAGTTACTCCCTCTTCCCGTGTATCACCTTCTTTCTCTACAGGAGACTCTCGAGTGGCCTCCTCAGTGGCATCTCGACGTGCTCCTTCAGTAGCCTCTTTAGTAGCCTCTTTAGCACCCTCTTTAGTAGCCTCGTCAATAGCCTCTTTAATAGCCTCCTCAGTATCCTCTTTAGTAGCCTCTTTAGTAGCCTCTTCAGTGATAGCCTCCTCAGTATCCTCTTTAGTAGCCTCTTTAGTAGCCTCTTCAGTGATAGCCTCCTCAGTATCCTCTTTAGTAGCCTCTTTAGTAGCCTCCTCAGTATCCTCTTTAGTAGCCTCTTCAGTAGCCTCTTTAATAGCCTCTTCAGTAGCCTCTTCAGTGGCCTCTTCAGCAGCCACTCGAGTGGCCTCTCGAATTCCACCTCCTGTGTCTCCGCCCCTCTTCGCAGCTAGCTCCTCCTCCTTCTTCACACCCGCAGCAGACCCCTCGTCTCCCCTCCTTTCCTCCTCCTTCACACCCGCAGCAGACCCCTCGTCTCCCCCCCTTTCCTCCTCCTTCACACCCGCAGCGGACCCCTCGTCTCCCCTCCTTTCCTCCTCCTTCACACCCGCAGCAGACCCCTCGTCTCCCCTCCTTTCCTCCTCCTTCACACCCGCAGCAGACCCCTCGTCTCCCCTCCTGTCCTCCTCCTTCACGCCCGCAGCAGACCCCTCGTCTCCCCTCCTTTCCTCCTCCTTCACACCCGCAGCAGACCCCTCGTCTCTCCTCCTGTCCTCCTCCTTCACGCCCGCAGCAGACCCCTCGTCTCCCCTCCTGTCCTCCTCCTTCACGCCCGCAGCAGACCCCTCGTCTCCCCTCCTGTCCTCCTCCTTCACGCCCGCAGCAGACCCCTCGTCTCCCCTCCTGTCCTCCTCCTTCACGCCCGCAGCAGAACCCTCGTCTCCCCTCCTGTCCTCCTCCACGCCCGCAGCAGACCCCTCGTCTCCCCTCCTTTCCTCCTCCTTCACACCCGCAGCACAGCCCTCGTCTTCCCTGGCTTCAGCAGAGGCCCCCTCTCTTGCACCTCGCTCCCATTCCGCCACCTTGGCCCGAGCCCTGCTGCGGGATTGCACCTGCTTCCTCACACCCCATGCCATGGTGCCTATGCTGCCTATGTTACCCATGCTGCATATGCTTCCCATAGCATCCATGCTGCCCACCGCATTGTCTCCAGAACCATCGAGCCCATCCACTCTCCTCCGCTTCACGTGAGACCTGCCGGCACGTACCCTGCCAGCACCATGCTCCGTTTCACCAGACTGGGTGGTGACTTGGTCTAAATCCGCAAGCCTCACTCTCTTCTTCTTCGCCATCTCCCCTCTCCGCTCCTCCCCAGACCCCACCTCCCCAACCTCCCCTCTTCCACATCCGCCCTCCCCGTTTTCCTCCCCCTCCCCTTCCTCCTCACCCTTTTCCTCCTCTTCCGATTCCTCTTGCTCTTCCTCCCCCCCCTCATCTTCATCCTCCCCTACATCCACCACCCCTGCCTCTTCCTCTACCCTCCCTGGAACTTCTGCCACGTCAGCAAGCCTCATCACTCTTCTTTCGCTCCTTCGACCCTTCCAAGTCCCCCCTCCGCAGGCCTCATTTTCCTCCGCGGCCACGTCAGCAACTTCTGCCACGTCAGCAGCTCTCCTCACTCGCACCTTTCCCCCTCTATTCCCCTCCAACCCGTGAATCTCAGCTTCCCTTTTGGGTGTCCGCCCACCTGCCGCGGCTTTCATCCCTCTACCACCTTTTAAAGGGGATAATAATCGGCTGCTTTTTAAAGTGGAGAATTCTCTACCACGCAACAGAGCCCTCCCACCATTCTGCGCTCTCCCATTGCTGCCATGCACAACCCCCCCGTTTCCTTTCATATCCCCCCTCTTTTCTTTCGGAATGTCCTGAAAGGTCTCCACTCTCCCCCTTCTATCCTCCAGGTCCAGCTTCCCCCTCATGCTTCCACCCTTGCCCCTCCTGGCCCCATTTAACCCCTTGCCCTCTTCCCGTAGCTTGGCTGCTCCGCGTGTTTCTCTGCTGCCTTCTCCTGGTCCCCCTGACGACTTGCTGTTTTCTCCTGCCTTTTTGTTGCTTCCTCCTGAGCCCTTGCTGTTTTCTCCTGACGCCTTGCGAGAAGTCTTCCGCACGTCCTTACTGAGGAAGCAGACGATGGCCAGACTCCAGTGGCTGCGGAACCTGCAAGGAGGGATTGGGAGGGATTGGGAGAGATTGGGGGGGGGGGTTAGGGGGGGGGATGGGGGGAATGGGGGGGAACGAGAGGGAAGAGGGACATGGGCATATGTGTGGGGCGTCCTCCTCACGTCCTTACTGAGGAAGCAGACGATGGCCAGACTCCAGTGGCTGCGGAACCTGCATATTCAGAGGAGCTCGAAGGGGAATCGAGGGGAATCGAGGGGAATCGAGGGGAAGAGGTGGACAGAATGGGACAGGGCCTCGAGCAGCAACAGCAGCAAGCACGAAGAGCCCTGCTGCCCTGTCCTCTTCATGGAAGGGGGTAACGATGAAGTCCCTGGAGAGAACATATCGGTTGGAAGGGGTGACGGAGGGTGACGGATAGAACAAGATGATTTTTGAGTCGACTCAAAAGTCAATATCGGTTGGAAGGGGTGACGGAGGGTGATGGAAAGAACAGGGCTGCGAAAGAGCTGCAAGGGGGAGCGGAGTGCATACTCTTCGTAGATGGGGATGGCGATGTGGAGACAATATCCGCGTAATTATAATCGTGTTTTGATTTGAGACGTCTCAAAACAACAGCAGCAACAACAACAGGAGCACCAGGAGCAGCAGGAGCAGCAACGGCAGCGGCAGCAGCAACAGCAGGAACAGAGAGAGCCGTACGCTTCATGGAAGGGGATGACGATGAAGTCCTTGGAGAAAATGTCCGTGCCTCGAGTCCACCTGGTGAGCCGTGTCAGCTCTTGGGGGTCCTGACTCACTTTCTGGAGTCAACAAAGGGAAAGAGGGGGGGGAAGGGCGGGGAGAGGAGAGGGGGGGAGGGGAGGGCGGAGAGAGGAAGGGGGGGGAAGGGGAGGGCGGGGACAGGGCGGGGGGAGGGCGGGGAAGGAAGGAGGAGATGAACGAGGATTGGGGTGCACAGCGCGCAGCACTGGTTGCAGCACAGAGCAATCAGCGCACAGCAATCAGCACAGAGCAATCAGAGCACAGCAATTAGCACAGAGCAATCAGAGCACAGCAATTAGCACAGAGCAATCAGCGCACAGCAATTAGCACAGAGCAATCAGCGCACAGCAATTAGCACAGAGCAATCAGCGCACAGCAATTAGCACAGAGCAATCAGCGCACAGCAATTAGCACAGAGCAATCAGCGCACAGCAATTAGTACAGAGCAGCACAGAACAGCACAGGAGGGCAAGCACTCACGAAGCGCTCGTGCGCCTTGAAGAGCGAGGTGGAGAAAATGGTGCTGAAGACTCAACGAGCAGCAATTGGAATAGCACAGCACCAGAGCACAGCAGAGCACGGGGGGGGGGGGGGGGGGGGGGGGCACTCACGAAGCGCTCGTGCGCCTTGAAGAGCGAGGTGGAGAAGAAGGTGCTGAAGAAGTGGAACCGCGACCGCTGCGGCCCCTGCAGCACCGTCTGTTCAATGAACCTGGACAAGCGCGCATGGGTTCAGAGGACCAGGCACGGAGCATTTCAGCTGATCAAACAGTCTCCTGCACCGTTGGCTGTTCAACGAACCTGGACACGCCACTAGCTTGCAGAAAGGGAGTCGGAAGGCACATAGAATCAAAGAAGCGTGATACAACGTGATAGGGGAATCGGCTTCAAGATTGTCAGAACTGATTCGACACGTAACACAAAGGATCCGGACGAACCGAGTCTCAAGTGTATTTCATGTTGACTTAAAGACAATTGACCGCGTGGCCATGGGCTCAACTCACATGACAATGCATGAGGCTAGGATGGACACAGCTGCGTGCATGAGACCGACATTGACACACCTACTCATGCAGTCTCACCTCAGAGACACACCTACTCATGCAGTCTCACCTCAGAGACACACCTACTCATGCAGTCTCACCTCAGAGACACACCTACTCATGCAGTCTCACCTCAGAGACACACCTACTCATGCAGTCTCACCTCAGAGACACACCTACTCATGCAGTCTCACCTCAGAGACACACCTACTCATGCAGTCTCACCTCAGAGACACACCTACTCATGCAGTCTCACCTCAGAGACACACCTACTCATGCAGTCTCACCTCAGAGACACACCTACTCATGCAGTCTCACCTCAGAGACACACCTACTCATGCAGTCTCACCTCAGAGACACACCTACTCATGCAGTCTCACCTCAGAGACACACCTACTCATGCAGTCTCACCTCAGAGACACACCTACTCATGCAGTCTCACCTCAGAGACACACCTACTCATGCAGTCTCACCTCAGAGACACACCTACTCATGCAGTCTCACCTCAGAGACACACCTACTCATGCAGTCTCACCTCAGAGACACACCTACTCATGCAGTCTCACCTCAGAGACACACCTACTCATGCAGTCTCACCTCAGAGACACACCTACTCATGCAGTCTCACCTCAGAGACACACCTACTCATGCAGTCTCACCTCAGAGACACACCTACTCATGCAGTCTCACCTCAGAGACACACCTACTCATGCAGTCTCACCTCAGAGACACACCTACTCATGCAGTCTCACCTCAGAGACACACCTACTCATGCAGTCTCACCTCAGAGACACACCTACTCATGCAGTCTCACCTCAGAGACACACCTACTCATGCAGTCTCACCTCAGAGACACACCTACTCATGCAGTCTCACCTCAGAGACACACCTACTCATGCAGTCTCACCTCAGAGACACACCTACTCATGCAGTCTCACCTCAGAGACACACCTACTCATGCAGTCTCACCTCAGAGACACACCTACTCATGCAGTCTCACCTCAGAGACACACCTACTCATGCAGTCTCACCTCAGAGACACACCTACTCATGCAGTCTCACCTCAGAGACACACCTACTCATGCAGTCTCACCTCAGAGACACACCTACTCATGCAGTCTCACCTCAGAGACACACCTACTCATGCAGTCTCACCTCAGAGACACACCTACTCATGCAGTCTCACCTCAGAGACACACCTACTCATGCAGTCTCACCTCAGAGACACACCTACTCATGCAGTCTCACCTCAGAGACACACCTACTCATGCAGTCTCACCTCAGAGACACACCTACTCATGCAGTCTCACCTCAGAGACACACCTACTCATGCAGTCTCACCTCAGAGACACACCTACTCATGCAGTCTCACCTCAGAGACACACCTACTCATGCAGTCTCACCTCAGAGACACACCTACTCATGCAGTCTCACCTCAGAGACACACCTACTCATGCAGTCTCACCTCAGAGACACACCTACTCATGCAGTCTCACCTCAGAGACACACCTACTCATGCAGTCTCACCTCAGAGACACACCTACTCATGCAGTCTCACCTCAGAGACACACCTACTCATGCAGTCTCACCTCAGAGACACACCTACTCATGCAGTCTCACCTCAGAGACACACCTACTCATGCAGTCTCACCTCAGAGACACACCTACTCATGCAGTCTCACCTCAGAGACACACCTACTCATGCAGTCTCACCTCAGAGACACACCTACTCATGCAGTCTCACCTCAGAGACACACCTACTCATGCAGTCTCACCTCAGAGACACACCTACTCATGCAGTCTCACCTCAGAGACACACCTACTCATGCAGTCTCACCTCAGAGACACACCTACTCATGCAGTCTCACCTCAGAGACACACCTACTCATGCAGTCTCACCTCAGAGACACACCTACTCATGCAGTCTCACCTCAGAGACACACCTACTCATGCAGTCTCACCTCAGAGACACCTACTCATGCAGTCTCACCTCAGAGACACACCTACTTGACATAGAAGTCGATGACAGTGTCGTTCAAACACTCCCCCGGCAGCAACCGCTGCAGATCCGCTGCCTTCACCTCCACTGCTCCCAGCTGCTGCCTGCACGGATAGCCGAGTAAGGGGGAGGGGGGAGGGGAGGGGAGGGGAGGGGTGGGGAGAGGGGTGGGGAGAGGGGTGGGGAGAGGGGTGGGGGAGGGGAGGGGTGGGGGAGGAGGTGAGGTGGTGATTGAGGGAAGAGGAAACTTATGCATGCCCCCGAATCCGCTGCCTTCACTTCCACTGCCCCCAGCTGCTGCCTGCATGAATAGTCCAGTGCGGGAAGGGGAGGGACGGGAAGGGAGGGGCATTCTCATCTAGTGTGAAAGTTAGGTTAGAACAACAAAAACGAGCGGGCTCTGGCGGAATTGCGTTGTGTCCGTCCATCAAGCCAGCAGGTTAGGACAACAGAACTGAACGTTATTTCGGTACCACGCATGCTTGAGTATGCGATTGACCTCATGCAAACAACAGGCACCATACCACACCAGACTGTACCATACAATCCCACGCTACTACACACCACATCACACAGCACCACACACACAGCTGCTGTGTCACAGCACCATACAGCACCATACCTGGTGGGATATGTGAATGTGCGCCCTTCAACCCTGCCACGGATGGGGGGGGCGGGAGGTGGGGGGAGGGTGAAAGGGAGACACGAAGGAAGGGAGAGAAATTATGGGGGTCGAACACGGATCTTTTAGGCGCCTAACAAACAAAGCATAGGTGTTGGCACGCCAGGAACATTTGGTTTTCTAGTACTTGCAGAGCCGGCCTTCGATACATCACGCAGCAATAGTAGAACACTCACATGTCTAGCCAGCGCCGGCACTGGTCCCAGGTGAAGGGGAACGGCTGGGATGAGTGTGGCTGATGGATGCACGGCGCGCTCGCCCTCAAGGGATGGCACCAGATCGTGCCGCTGGCTCGGCAACTCAAGTGAGACTGTAGCACGCTCACCTGTCTAGCCACTGCTGGCACTGGTCTCTGGTGAAGGGAAACGGCTGGGAGGAGCATGCCTGATGCACCGCATGCTGGCCCCCATGGGACGACACCAGATCATGCTGCTGGCTCGGCAACTCAATAAGAGCACCGTCGCTTCCTCCACCCTCCTTTTCACCACCCTCCTTTCCACCACCCTCCTTTTCATCACCCTCCTTTTCATCACCCTCCTTTTTATCCCCCTCCTCTTCACCCCCCTCCTTTTCACCGCTCTCCTTTTCACCACCACCCTGACCAGCACCACATTTACTACCACCACCCTTACTACCACCCTCCCCCTCCCCACCACCGCCCCTCTTCACCTCATCCAACACCTCGCAATCCCTCTCCCGAGCATCCTCCACACAAGCATCTTCGCCAACCCTACAGCCACCTTCTCTCGATTCACCGTCCCGCCCTTCGTCATCCCCTTCGTCCAACCCCACCTCTCTCTTGGGATAACCACTTGCTCCTGCTACCACTGCAACCTTGCTTCGCCCCACTACTGCAGCACCCTCACCCGGACCCTCCATCGGCAGCAGACTCCAGGCGTCCTCCATGGGAACATCAGCACACGGAGCAGCATGCTGGGAAGCAGTCAACGGGTCAGCTATGCCTCCCACCTCCCTTTCCTGACAGCCCTCAACAGCACCCGCCTGTCTTGACTCTGCCACGCCTCCCTCTGCCACGCCTCCCTCTTGAGTCGAATCGAAAGCAGGCTGGGAGGCAGTCAGCGGGTCAACTATGTCTCCCACCCCTCGTTCCCAGCAGCCCTCAACAGCACCCGCCTGTCTTGACTCGGCCACGCCTCCCCCTTCCTCGCCTCCCTCTGCCACCTCGCCACCATAGTCCCCGGAGGTCTCTAGACCACGAGCACCTCTGTGGACCTCGGTTCTAGGAGTCGACTCAAGCGCATTCTCTGCTGCCACGCCTCCCTCTGCCACTCTTCCCTCCTCCCCACCCGTCACCTGCGACCTCTCCTGATCGCCAACACCGTTGTCATCCTCCGCCATAGGAGTCGGTTCAGGTGTATTCTTTGCTGCCACGTCATCCAAGTTTCTGTCTGCTGACAGTGGCTTCGCAGTATCTCCAGTTGCCACGTCATCATCTCCTCGTGCCGTATGGCCCGTGGTTCCTTCCGGTTGAGAGGCAAGGTCAATCCTGGAATCATCAGCAGCATCCTCTCTCACATTAGTCACACCGTCGTCAGCCGCGCCCTTCAATACAGTCACATCATTGCCTGAAACGTCCTCACTCCCATCCTTCAATACAATCACGTCCGAAGTAAGGACACCTCCGTTAAGGCGTGCCAGCTGCTGACTTGTCTCCTCGCCCCTTCTCTCGCCTCGCGCTGACCCTCTTCCTCTTCCCCTTCTCTCTCCACGCCCTCTCCTGTAAGGGCTCCTTCCCTCGCTTCCATCAATTCCCCCCGTACCTCTCGCTTCCCTCTCTTTGTTACCCTCTCTCTCCTTGTTACCCTCTTTCTCCTTGTTACCAACTTGCTCCTGGTTACCCTCTTTCTCCTTGTTACCAACTTGCTCCTGGTTACCCTCTTTCTCCTTGTTACCAACTTGCTCCTGGTTACCCTCTTTCTCCTTGTTACCAACTTGCTCCTGGTTACCCTCTTTCTCCTCTCTCTCCTGACTCCGTTCCCTCTCCTCCACGTCATCACGTGCCAAGTCAATCACTGCCCGTGATGTCCGACGTGTCGACACGCGAGTGGGGGACGCCAGAGCATTGATGCTCTTCCGGCGACGGCTGGCTGCTGACATGGAGGGAACTAGCGGGCGACACGTCGGCAGTAGCTATCTAGACCATGTCAGCAAGCTAAGCAGCTGTGGGCTTAACAAGCACCGTTGGCTTCGAACAAAAGAGAAGCTGAGAGAAATTTCATATACGGGAAAATTGTCAGACAGGTGAAGAGTTTCCTTTAGGCGGGCCTGCTCTCCCAGCAGGTGATGGTAACGTACGTAACCCGTATTTCGCGAAGGAACTGCGGTTCTGTCGATCTACAGAGCAACGATGTCAGGCACAAGAGTTTAAAATTCGGCTTCAAACAACGGCAACGATCTCCGTCCCCCCCTACTCCGGTTCGCCACGGCGAATCATGGCAGCAGAACGAAGTACGTTACGCTACTGGCGTAGTTACATTTGGGTTGACAAGATCAGCTCAAATCCCTGGGATTTAGGCTACACGGAAACTGGTACTCCAGCACTAGTACCAGAACACGGACTAGCAACCAGCGATATCAGCGGGAAGGAAGGCTGTGAAATGAGAAGGGAATGGAAAAGCTGCCAACAGCACAGGCGACGCTCACTGACTGCCAATGACGACAATGAAATTGTGATGGGAGGGAGGTGTCAGTCAGCACTGTGACAACATCGAGTATCTTTCGTAACATCAGGAACTTAGATCAGGTGTAATGAAGCGCAAAGAGCGTGTGTCGAAGGATTGAGTAACGAGGGAACAATACCGTATTCCCCCAGATATACGCCACTAGGTGCGTTTAGGGATTATAGTCAAAATTTGGGGGGTGCTTATAATTGAATTAATTTCATGTGGCATGGTGCGAAATAAAGGGATTATGGAAAATTCAGATATGAACATGAAAATGTAGCTGGAACAATTTCCAATCTGGTGGATGTGCTCCCAAACAGGAACGCCCCGAACAGTCCCTCGAAAACCGCTCGACAGTAGATTGGCACGCTAAGTGGCAGGATTGATGCATTTTGCCGGCAAGGGTCGATCGCGGCCATCCGCTCCTCTCTCATCGCACAACACCAGAGGACATCCGACCAGATTTCGCGTGGCGAGGTGACGAGAACCGATTTCGTGTGAAGAAGCCGACATCGACTGTGAATCTGACAGAAAATGCGGCCAACCCCAACCAGCGCAAAGAAAATAGGAGGGTGTGTGTAGGGATTAGATCTTGGCCAACAGCGGGGTACGTATAAATGGCACAACCGATATGGCACCCCTCAGGATATACACACCATGGTGCTTTTTAACCGGCGGTGCGTATATCTGAGGGAATATGGTACAATTCAGGCAATCAAAAACAGCGGGGAGCATGGATATAGCTAGCCTAGGAGCACACAGTCGTGGCTCAGCAGAGCTGCGACGTATGGTTCGTAAAATGACGCGGAGCGCCCAGATCTAGGCATGCAACAGCAAGGGGGGCAACACTGTATGCGAATCGTCAGGAGACCACATTTGGGACCGCAATTTGAATTTCGTAGCAGAGCTGCGCGGCAACCCCGTTATAGCAGTATACGCCTTACTGTCTAAAACTCATGATAAGGAAATACCATTTCCTTACACACTCCCCCCTCCAAGGAATGGTCTTAGCTAAGACCACCGACGTCGCGTACGTTGCGTGACTGGAGGTAGGTCCGTAACACTAGGTAATTCTCGATCTGTGCTAGGGGCACCCAACTGTTTCTAGGGCCGTCCGGTCCTTCCAAGATATCAGAAGCTCGATCAGGCAAGCCCCTTGAGGATCCTTGATCCTATGGATGAGAACCTTCGCAGGTTCGACAGTAGGCTCGGCGAGCGGTTGGATGTTCAGGTTCGCTCGGTAACGTGGTAGCTCTCAGAGTAGCACAATAAACTAGAATAAAGGGTACATGGTAGTTTTGACCTAATGTATTGTGCTCTCTAAGGCATGACCCTATCTAGACTACAGCAACATATACAAATATGTTTGACATACCCCCTAGACTGGACAAGGGGCAGTGCCAGGCAAGAGACAAGCAACTCAAGGCGGCACTACTAGTCCAACCTCTGAGACAAGGGTCCGAAGACCAGTCAACAAGAGTATAAATTCGACAAGAGCAAACCAAGGCAGCACTAATAGTCTGGCCACTAGAATAGTAGCCATAAGGCCAGTCAAGCATGGATATATAAAGAGGAGTATGCAATCAAGGTCCTAGCAAGTGAGGAGCCACAGGAACTAGACCAAGCTGCAAACAGTGTCGCTGATGATCTTTAGGCGCAAGCGTCTTAGTAAAGATATCAGCTATGTTGGCACCGGAGGCCAAGTGTACTACACGGGCCTAGCGGCACTGCTGTAGCTCGCGCATGAGGAAGTACCGCTGCTGGATGTGCTTGGCTCTGCCCTCGAGTCCAGGCTCTTGACAAAGGAGGATCATGGCCCCATTGTCAACGAACAAGACCAGGGCAAAGCTCGGCCAAGAAGGTCAACCAGCGGAGCTGCTGTGCCGTTATGGCACCAGCGTAGATCTCAGCCTCGAAACTAGATCGGGCAACAGACGACGAGTGGGTGGACCTCCACGAGATGGCACCTGAACCAAGGCTAAAGCACTAGCCTTGGGAGGACCTGAGTGTCTCAGCATCGTCTGCCCACGAAGCGTCTGTGTGGTCTATAAGGACCACTGGCTTGCGACCTCCCAGCACGAGTCCCATGCCCGATGTACTTGCTAGATAACGCAAAACCCTCTTAGCTGCCGACCAGTGCTGTGGTCGGTGTCTCCCTGTGGCCACAAAGCGCGTCAGGATGCTGAGAGAGTATGTCATCAGGTACATCACGCAACCCACCAGCTCTGTGTAAGGACCACTAAGCTCTACTGACTCCTCAGGAACTGGAGCCGAGAGCATGTGGTCTACTGGCAGAGGTGTGGGCTGTGCGGAGGAGAACTGAAGACCGAACCTCTGAAGAACCTGGCGCACTAAGTGTGACTGCGTGAGAATGATGGTGCGCGCTGCTCTGTCCCTGGAGATCTGCAGGCCAAGGTAGCAATGCAGCTCTCTTAGGTCAGTGCAGGTGTGTCTCCTCAGCAGCTCACCCTTCACTGAGGCAAGTGCGTCTCTGTCTGCAGTAGCGAAGAGCAGGTCGTCTACGTAGACAAGGATATAGAACGGAGTTTGGCCAGCATGATCAAAGGGCGAGGGGTCTGCAGACGACGGGAAGAACTGCAGGTCAGCTAGCATGGCACGCAGCGTGTCGTGCCACTCACGGGGCACCTGACGCAGGTCGTAGACTGGGCGCCGGAGGAGCCACTGGGTCCAAGGAGGGAGGTACCAGTGAAGCCCTGTGGACAGCGCAGGTAGACCTGCTCATGTAGACTACCCTGAAGAAGCGCTGTGGAGTAATCGAGAGAGTCTAGCTCGTATTCACGCTGTACTGCTACGTGTAGCAGTGCCCGAAGAGTAGTCATCTTCGGGGTCAAGGCGAAGGCCTGAAAGAGGTCCACACCCTCGCGCTGACTGAAGCCTGTAGCCACGTAGCGCGCCTTGAACACAGGCGGCTCTCCAGGAGGGCGCTTCACCTTGAAGAGCCAGCAGCCATCGACTACGTTCACCACATGCAGGGGAACTGCGTCGACGAAGGTGCCGGTAGGTCTCCACGATGCCATCTCTTGCTCCATGGCAGCTATCCACTAAGAGGCCCAGGGTCCCGAGGTCGCCTCAGCGTAAGTGCGAGGGGTCGGGATGTCAAGAGCGTCTGGGTCACCCTCAGGGACTAGCAGCATGGAACAGAGATGGGGAGCGGCCTCAGATAGGAAAGCAAGCTTGCACTGCCTGTCCTCTAGGGCGTCACTGCCAAGGGTAGGAGCACCCCCGACGGACGGAGGGCAGTCAGGGCCAGAGACCAGAGCTGTGGCGTAGTCAAGGCGGCTGGTAGAGGCGAGGTCAGCGACAACAGCGACAAGATCGTCAAGACTCGAGACAGGAACAGACGAGTCGGTAACGAGGGAGGCAAGGACCCGAGGAATAAGAGGACGAGTGGCACGAAGGTAGTCAGACAGATGAGGCAGAGCAACATCCAGCGACAACGGAGGAGGTGAGGGGAGGAGGGGAGGACGGGACGCGTGGGAACGAAGCAAGATGGGGTGAGAGCACTGGACTGGAGAGACAGGACGAGCACGAGAGGGTCGGCGAGACCAGAAGTGGGATGGAGGCGTCGGGTCAGGAGACACAGGAGGAGAACAAGGAGGAAAATGAGTCAAGGACGAGTCTGGCGGAGGAAACACAGGGCCGTAGATAGGCAGAGGAGGCGGCGGCGGGGGAGGCGCGAACGGGTGGTTAGGGGAGGGAAGGCCGAGCAGGCAAAGGGCAGACACCAGCAGCAAATGTTGCTGCTACTCCACGCTGATACAAGAACCTCCTGCTGCACCACGGCTACCTCCAGAACGCTCCACTCTAGCACCCCCAGAATGAGAACCCTCACCAGCACTTGTGCCACCCCTGAGACAAGCCACGATAGGAATCCCAGGTCTAGCACCCCCAGAACCAGCACCCTCGTGAACGCTCGCACCCCCATAGCGCGTGGACGGCTGCTGCCGCTACGGCGGCGGTGGCGGTTGTTGTTGCGGCTGCGATGGCGGCGGCTGTTGCAACGGTGGAGGAGGGGACACCGGGAGAGAAACAGGCGGCGAGAACTTCGTCATGGGGCCACCAGAGTCAGCTGACTCCTCGACCGGGACAACCGACGGGAGGGGAGTGACGTGAGACACACCAAATAGAGCACGACAGGGAGGGAGGGGAGCAACACAGGGAGACCTAGGACGAGACCGTGCTGAGACGTGTGACGTAGACACGGAGTGCAGGATGACCTAGGCGGTGGTGCCATAGAAGCAACGGGTGAGTGAGCGACCGACACGAGCAAGCCGCAACGACCTGGGTAGACGCAGGACCCGGGGAGGACGAGCCCACCGGGGGGGAAGCAGTGTTCAGCGTAAACAGGCCAGACACCGTGTTCCGGGGGAACATCGCAACGGGAGCACCTGAGGTGGCCTCGGTACAGATAGTGTACCGCTCGTGACCGGGGAACGTAGTGGTGACGCCGAGGTCCTGAAGACAGCCGACACCAACTAGGTTCCTGGTAAAGGAAGGGATGTGCTGGACTGTAAGAGAACCCGAGGGAACCGCTGGACAGGGAAGGTAGTGTAGCTACGGGCAACGATAGGACCGGAGGAGGGGTCAGCAAGAGCAACAGCGGAAGGCGCTGCAAGCGGCGTCAGCATGGCGTGGTCGCGGAAGAAGCAGGCAGACGCGCCAGAGTCAAGTGTAAAGGACAGCGAAGTGAAAGCTGCGGCCGGTGGAGAAGCAAGCGTGGAGCCAAGACTAGACAAGGCAGAAGGTCCTACGCCTGTTGCAGCAGGGGAGTCTGCACAGGTAACACACCTAAACTAGGCAACACAGGATAATAAGATCTGGGCACACTAGAAGCATCAGCATACATGGAATGCAGGGCAGAACAAATCGTATCGATCTCTAACTGAAAGATAGGCACACTGTGGTGCAGCAGACTGACCCAGTCAGGGAGGTCCGGCGCCGGGCCGAAGCGGCGATGAAAGAGGTCGTCGAGGCGACGGAAGCAGCGGGCAGTCAGGTGCGGGCAACGATACACAATGCCGCAGAGGGGGCCGGTCTGGAGCTGGCACTAGCAGCCCCCATGGCCGAAGCTGCCTGCCGACGCCGAGCTGCGAGGGCCACCAACGGGGCCACCACCGCTAGAGGCACCGGGCCACCCCGGCGGGAGGCAGGCCCACGACTTCTGTTGCTGCTGCTGCTGTGATGCCTGTTGCTGAGGAGGCTGCTGCTGCTGCTACTCCTGGGCACCAGCCCCTGTCCCCTCGTTGGACCCACTGTCCCCGCCGCCACCTACGCCACCTCCACCGCCCCAATCCCATCCCATGTCTCTTGCACCCGCTCCCAAGTCTGGAGCATCCCTGTGGGGGGATGCTCATACTTGGCAAGCTCTCGTTAGAGGTGTGCCCACAAGTGCTCTAAGGGGTTGAGATCAGGGGAGGAGGAAGGACACTTTAGGACTGAATACTGCTGCTCAGACAGCCAAGCCTGCACAAGGCGGCTCTTGTGCTTGGGGTCGTTGTCATGCTGGAAGATGACATCCGAGGGGGTTAGATTATAGAAATCGATGGTTTGTGCAAGCTCATCATGCAATATGCTTCTGTATAGCTCCCCATCCATGTGGCCGTCAATCTTACACATATATCCCGAGCTATCATATGTCATGCACCCCCATACCATTAATGACCCGCCCCTATGCTTGACGGTTTGCTGCACTTGGTGACCTTGCAGGGCCGCCCCGTCGCGTATCCACGCGTACTTGCGGCCATCACTGGAAAAGCGATTGATCTTGATCTCGTCGGACCAGATCACCCGCTTTCAGTCTTCCATAGTCCAGTCAAGGTGCGCCTTGGCGAAATCGAGGCGGTCTCTGATGTTACGACTAGAAAGACGCGGCTTCTTTGGTTTCTGCACAGCTACTAAACCAGACTGCTTCACGGCGTTGCGCACGGTTCTAGGGCAGATCTTGATGCCGCGCTCTGATTCTAGTAGTTTCGCGGCTTCTATGCTAGTCTTTGCATGGCCGGAAGTGACTGCTCGAACCATTGAGCGCGTATCACGTACCAAGAGCATGCACGGTCTGCTGTTCCTAGGAACAATCGGCCTGACCGCTAGGCTGCTCGTGCGCTGGGCGGCTTCGTGAGCGTATTTCTGGACCGTGCTCTTCCCTATTCCTAATGCCCTTGCGATTTGTCGGAAACTCCGACCCTGTTCAAGCAGGGTCGCGATCCTATCTTTCTGGCTCGAAAGAAGTGGTCGCATCATCGCTAGGAGCTTGGCGTAGATGCCGCTGTACTATCGAGAGGAAAATCCAAGGTTACGTTGCGAGATCGCGAAATGCAGACAGGAAAGAGACCTGGACTCAAAGTTGGCCTAAAGTGTCCGCATCGAGTGACAGCAACATATTACTGTACGCTTTACAAGAAATTCGATTTAAAATTCAACACCCAACTGCATAAAACAGCTAAGGTCAAGAGGCACACTATGCAATCTGTTGTTGTCGAGTTTTGACAACATATCACGCCTAAATCTCAACATATCTACTGCAACGGATTTTGAAGCCCATTAATTTCCGTCACTGTATGTGCACTGGGAGGGCGCACAGCCCTGAAAGATAGGGACTGCCGCAGTACCGCTCGACTGAGCGATAGTGCATTGGCGAGTCTCTATCTCAGACAAGGCAGTGACAAAGGCGGTAAGGGTGAGGTCACCTGGGTGCTGACTAAGGAAGTGGTTGCGGGCAGTGGCTAAGCGGTCCGAAAGGCGCATGGCAATGAGGTCAAGGGTACAACAGAAGGTTGTAATCTGGGCGTCAGAGCTAGCGGCGCGGTAGCTATAGCCTCTAGTGCACGGAGGTGAGTGGCTAGGTCAGCTACAGTGAGGAATGCGGCGAGATTAGGGAATAACATGGGGAGGATCAGGCGGCGAGCAGAGGCGGGAGCGCAACTACGGCATCTAAAAAGTCCTTGGCGTTCACGACAGCAGAAAATCGCGAACGCTCAGATAGGGGAAGCGCGTGATTAATGGCAAGCTTCGCTACAGCATCGCGGGAATCCCAGACAGCACGAGCAAGCGTGGCAGTTGAAAAGGCCTCAAGCTGAGCAGTGGTGGGGTCAGCAGGGAGGGGATCATGCATGAGGGGGTGGGGAAGCAAGCCATCGACATGCATAGCTAGGGAGTGCCCATACTGGCACTGACCTGTGAGGTGACAGTGTAGATCGACAAGCCAGGCGGCGAAGTCGAGCGTGTGCCCCTCCGCGTCCAGGCGGAGTACAGAGTCCGCCATCGTACGACCTCAACGACCCGATGCCATGGTGGCCCGCCGGCACAGCAACACGGCGGCACGGCTACTCGGCAGCATGGCGGTACGACTCCACGGCAGAAAGGACAGCGACCACGATTGAGGCACACGGGGCGCGCCGACCGGTGGGTGCGCGTAAGGCCGGGCGGGGCTGACAGGGCCAACGGTGCGTAGAAGGGCCGACGGGGCACAATGAGCCAGCAGGGGCGCGAGGAGGCTGGCGGGGCGCAAAGGGCCAGCGGAGCGCGATGGGCCGGCGGGGTGCACGAGGGCTGGCGGGGCGCAAAACGACTAGGGGGCCCGAGGGGCCGGCGGGGTGCGAAAGGGGTGGCGGGGCGCGAAACGGCCAGTGGGGTGCGAGAGGGCTGGCGGAGTGCAAAACGGCGCGCGGGGGGCGAGGGGTCTGCGGGGCGCGTAAGGGCTGGCGGGGCGCGAAGGGTTGGCAGGGCGCGAAGGGTCTGGCGGGGCTTGAAGAGCCTGGCGGGGCGCGAAAGGGGGGGGCCACAGGGTGCTAAGGCCAGCGAGGCACTAAGGCTAGGGCTAGGGCGGAAGCTGGTGGGCGGACCTAACCTAAGCTGACAGCATCTCAGAGAAGCAGAATAAACTAGAATGAAGGGTACACGGTAGTTTTGACCTAATGTGTTGTACTCTCTAAGGCATGCCCCTATCTAGACTACAGCAACATATACAAATATGTTTGACATAGCTTACTGATGCTGGCGATGTATGATCGAAGTAATCGCACGTGGAATGATGGGCTGACGTTCCAGGTGGCTGGTAACAGTAGATGGGCTGTAACGGAAGATACCATGTAGCTGATGTAAATGGTTCACAGTAGCGGGGGCTGAGTTTTGGGACGTTGAGCAGTCGAAGGTTCTGGGTATCGAGCAGTACTAAGTCTCCAGCCTGGTAACTGACTGCTCGTAGGTGTAGATCGGCGTTGCGCTTAGAAGTTACATTCGCGCGCTAATATTTCGACGAACTGTTGGGCTTGTGGTACTGGATTTTCGATGTTGGGCATGATCGGTACTGTAGGGTTCTGCCCATAGTTCAGGTAGAATGGTGATTGTCGTATAGTGGCTGACGGGGCGTTATTATACACGAACTCAATCAGTGGCACTTGCTGCTCCCAGTCGGCCACGTCATCGCAGGTGACACGAATCGGCTGCTCCATTGTGTGATTGGCCCGTTCGGTCTGTCCACCAGTCTCGAGATGGTAGGCTGAGGAGAATTGCAAGCGTGTGCCAAACTGTTCCCAGAGGTTGCGGCAAAAGTTGCTAGTGAATTTCATGTCACGATCCAAAATGATGGCGGATGGGATTCTGTGGAGGCGAACGATGGTTGAGATGAAGAGTCACGCTGTTTCTTCGGCTGAGATTCCTTTCTTGCACGCGGCGAAGTGGGCCATCTTTGTCAGTTTATCAACGACGACAAATATCGCGTCATTACAGCCGTCCTTGGCAGGCAATGCCGTAACGAAATCCATCGTCACCTGCTGTCACGCACGCTCAGGCAGCGGAATCGGCTGCAACTGTCCAGCTGGCTTCTGCTTTGATGAGGTTCTGCACAAAACCACATGTCGCTGCACGTCCCCTTGCGTGTCAGGCCAGAAACAGTACAGTGACGGAAACAACTGTACAGATGTTTTGCATTTATTAGGGTTTTGGGGCTTTCCGACCACTATACATAAATTATTTATGTTTTGTGGTGGTACGTTTTGGGAGGGGCACATAGTGGATGTATTTACAGCACCAAACTCCATAATACTACGTTGGATCTAACATAGTGCTAAAAGATACACAAAGAGTACATCCGGACAATTGTTTCCCAAAACAACGAGCAAACTTATGAACAGCGTTTCTAATACCTTGTCCACGGACTCTTGTCCTTGATCACCACCCGCACCCTCCTAGGCATGTTATCTACAAGGTTAGTGCAAACTTTTGAAGGGTTCTTCTCACACTCGTCCTAGACCCACCCTTTTGCATAAAGGGGTGAGCACTAGGAAAATTGCGAAGGATTTAAGCGTACACAAGAGTATAGTGCATGATTTCTTATTGAATGTTATCTCTGAGACTAGCCATGCTGAGGTGTGACAAAAGATGCCATTAGCCAATTGGCCCTATCTTTTCATGGGTCATCTTCGTCATACCGCTTTAGGGTAAAACCACGAACAGAGCGGCGAAAACTAGTGTATACACTGCGAAACTGAGGGTAACATAGCACGGTCGATTAGGCACACTTGCACTATAAAAACCACGCTATGATCCCCAGGTCCGGTCATGGTGCATCAGTCGAAGAAGTTGCGACAATTTGAGAAGAATATCCAGGTTGAGATCTGGTGAGGAAAAGGGTCACTCCAGCGCAACATACTCATGCTCTCCAAGCCATTCCCAGCCATTTGTCTCGTCTAGGCTAGGAATGACTTGGAGAGCATGAGTACGTAGCACTGCAGTAACCCTCCTTCTCACCGGATCTCAACCCAGATATTCTTCCCCACAAGTCGGGGCTTCTTTGACTGCTGCACCGTGACAAGACCCGTGGATTTTAACATGATTCTAATAGTGAAAGGGCGCACAGTCGACCGTGCTATGTTACCCAAAAGTTTCTGGCGGATGCGCTAGTTTTCGCCACTCGGAATGGAATTTTACCGTACAGCGGTACGACGAAGACAACCCATGAAAAGACAGGACCAATCAGCTAATGGTCCCGTCTTTTCATGAAAAGACACACCTCAGCGTGGCTAGGCTAAGAGATCACATTCAATCAGAAATCGTGCACAATACTCTTGTATACGCTCAAATCCTTTGCGAGTTTTCTAGTGCTCGCCCTCTTATGCAAAAGGGTGGGTCCAAGAAGAGTGCGAGAAGATCCCTGCAAAGGTTTGCACTAACCTCGTAGATAACATGCCTAGGAGGGTGTGTGTGGCGATCAAGGTCAAGGGTTGGTGGCCTAGAAACTACAAATTGTGTTCGGAAGTTTGCTCTTTGTCCTGGGAAACAATTGTCCAGATGTACTCTTTGTATATCTGTTGGCACGAAGTTAGATCTAGTGTGCTGTTATGGATTTTAGCACTCTGAACACATCCACTATATGCCCCTCCCAAAGCGTACTACCATAAAACATTAAAAGTTTATGTATAATGGTCGGAAATCCGCAAAACCTTAATTAATGCAAAACATTCGGACAATTTTTTCCGTCACTGTATCTGGTTAACTGCTGACGGGTTTTCTCCACTCCAAAGTGCCCTGAAACTGTGCTATCGTGAGCTTCCTATAAAAGTATTTCCCGCTGTAGAATGTATTCTGGTACCCAGATGCGGCCAGTCCCTGTCGTTACGTAATAAACCCACTTTGCTGTTGCAAGATGTTCGTACGCAACCGACGTAAAGAATCTGTTCGTCTGGTACCTGAGCGTAAATAGTCATGTTAACAGCGAGGAAGTTTGGGCGAGGATTATGGAGTTGAGATGGGCGGATGGGCGGGAAAGGGGGTCTGCAAAGTTGGATGCCATTTTCTTATAGGTGACCGTGTAATGGAACCTGGACTCCATAAAATCCAACCACCAAATCTGTCGTGGGTTGAGTAGTGGATGTACTGTAGGCTTCGGTGGTCTGTCCGTACTGTCATGTCCGCGCCCGTCAGGTAGCAACGCCACACTTTGAACGCGTGCACGATCGCGAGCATTTCCTTGTCGTGTATCGGATAGTTTCGCTCGGGCGGGTGCAGCTTTCGTGACTCGTACACGATTGGCTGTAAACCTTCGCCGAAATCTTATAACAGTACGGCGCCCATGACGATGTTGTTGGTGTCAGTAATTACTTCGAATGGACGTTGAGGATCAGCGATGCGAAGGACAGGGGCTGGGCACATAAAATTTTTGAGCGCAGAGAAGGCAGCTTGCTCTTTGTCGCCCCACCTATACCCAATCCCTTTTCGCAACAGGTTAGTTAACGGTATACAGTAGTTACCCCCGCCATATTCGGGATAAATCTCAGAAAATAGTTGACAAACCCAAAAAAACTTAACAGCTCCGGCAGGTTCTTAGGCGGTAGCCAGGCTTGCACTGCCTCGATCTTGCGCGGGTCTACTTCGACGCCCTTAGTGGAAATAACATGTCCTAGAAATACTAAACGATCTTTTAAAAACTCGCACTTAGACCACTTCGTGAGCAGTCGATGCTCCGCAGTGGCGTGAAAATTGATTCAAGATCCTTTAAATGCTGCTCCCGGGTCTCGCTGTAGATCAGAATATCGTTTAAGTAGACTATAACATACAGCGACGGAACAGTCTGTCCCCAAAATGGCAATGTTTAGCAAGTTCATGATGTTTTGACAAGTATAAATGAATTATTTACAATCTGGAGCCTGTGGACATTATGCAAAAACAATTGATGTACCTCCATATATAAAAAACTCTAGCCAATATCGAATCGCTAATAACGAGTACAAGCTTCCTCGACTGCTCTCAGTGTGATACATGTGCACTTTCGTGCACACCATCATGTTAGGTGTCGCGTTGACGAGCATTGAGGCTGCATAACCGCTCGAACCGAATCATGTTGTTAAGGTCCACCCTCACACTGTACGAAATGCCCTCTGGGTGACTGGGTTAGTTGCTGGACAACTATTGCGCAAGCCTCGATTATTAGCGCGCAACATGTGCGACTATACAGAATTTCGCCAGAGCCCACCTAGACTGGACTCTGATGACTGGAAGCGGGTGATCTGGTCGAACATGACTCAGATCACTTGATATTGCTTGGATGGCCACACTCACGCATGGATTCGCGAAGGCGCTGCTCTCTAGGGGCATCAGGTGAAGTAGACTGTGAAGCATGGGGGCGGGCCAGACATGGTTTGAGTCTGTATAATGTCTGATGTGCCTAGTTACATGTGCAAGATTGATGGCCGCATAGATGGCCAACTCTATCACAGCATATTGCAGGACGAGGTGGCTCAAACTCTTGATTCCTATGATTTGACCAACTCTGGCATGACGTTCCAGTACACTATACGACCCCAAACCCAAGTGCAGGATCGTTCAGGAGTGGCTAGAAGAGCAAGATTCCGCGGTCCTACAATGACCCTATTCCTCTCCCGACCCCAATCCCATCGAGCAGCTCGCCAAGCATGAGCAACCCCCCACAGGCATGCTGCAAACTTGGGAGCAGGTGCACGAGGCATGGAACAGCATTAGGGCTAGCATGTGCAAGGCTCTTATAGACACTATGCCTAGGAGGATCAGAGCAGGAAGTAGGGTTAAGGGGAGATGGACCTGGTATGGATATCGATAATTTCAAGTGTCGCTCATCCCGGGAACATTCTGTCCGAGTGTACCACTTGTGATCTTCGTTGTGCTATGTTCTGTTCTTGTTTGTTTTTTGGACAAGTTTTCATTTGTCGCACAAGCCTACAACAATGGCAACTAGAACCTTAAAATCGGGTTATAAAAAACCTGATCATTTTCTCATGGGCTCTGATTTTGTCCAGTTAATGGCCAACATGTGGACAGATTGTTCCGTCGCTGTATATTTGACATGGATATGATTCATATTGACCATGCCTTATATTCTCTGTATTCTGATGCTTCTAATGTTGCTAGTTTTTATTATCCTATTGTTTGTAGCCTTGGAGGTACTGCTGTGTGTAGTCTAGGATTCCTTGCTGCGTCAGGCCTAGGACCTGTTAGAGACTCTTCACCTGGCCCTGCCTTGTCGGCCCTCTCCTTTGTCTTAGACTCTGGAGCGTCTCAGTGCTTCTTTCGAGACAGTAGTGCTCTCACCCCGCTTCCTACGCCTGTCCGCGTCGCACTAGTAGACTCCTGCGCCACAGCTGTCGCACGTAGCACCACCACTCTCCCCTGTCCGGCTGTCCCTTGTGGCTCCCTCACAGGTCTGCACATCCCCTCGTTTGCTAGGAACTTAGTGGGTGTCGGTCACCTCCAGGACCGAGGCGTCACCACTACGTTCCCTGGCCGCGAGAGACACACTGCTTGCACATACACAGTCACCGGTCGACACTTAGCTACTGTACCTTTGAGCGTGACCCTGGATCAGGTCTCTTTACCCTGCACACTGAGTCCCCACTCATTGCTGCATCTGCCGAAGTCGCCGCGTCATGCTCCTGTCGCTCACTAGCCCACTCGACCCTTCTGTGGCACCACCGCTTAGGTCACCCTGCACTCCTGCGTCTTAGGCGCATGTCCCAGTACAGTCTAGTCACTGGTGTCCCTGCGTCACTCCCCGCCTTGCCTCCGTCGGTAGCGCCACTGTACACCTCCTGCGTCGAGGGCCGGCAGCGCGCCGCCCCTCACTCCTCCTCGTTTCCTCCTCCCACAGCACCACTACAGATACTGCACATGGAAGTCTGCGGCCCTGCCCCAATCCATGGTCTCAATCGGGAGCGCTACATCCTAATCGTCGTTGACGACTTCTCACGGTTCACCACAGTTTTCCCGTTGGATCGGAAGGCCGACGTGCCGACCGTTCTCCTCCTGTGGCTTTTCACTGTTTGCACCGCCCACCGACTGTCTGTAGGTCGCTTACACTCTGACTGCGGTGGCGATTTCGCCTCTGGCTCTCTAGGACGGTTCTGTCGTGCGGAGGGCATCCGCCAGACGTACACACTACCGGACTTCCCACAGCAGAATGGGGTCGCTTAGCAACGCATCGGCCTGATCATGGAGGTGGCTCGCACCTCCATGGTCTACGCCGGTTCACCCCATTTTCGGTGGTCGTTCGCCGTGCGCTACGCTACTCACCAGCTTAACCTGTGGCCGCGCTCCCAGCGACCACAGGTTTCGCCGACCCTTGTCTGGACCGGGTCTCTTGGTGACACGTCTGCGTTCCACGTCTGGGGCAGCCTTACTTACGTTCGCGATACTGCCACGGAAAAGCTTTCAGCCCGCACTCTTCCTTGTGTCTCCTTGGGGTTCCTGCTTGACGCCTCTGACTGGCTGTTCTACCACCCCTCACACCACCGTTTTCACCACTCTCGTGACGTCACCTTCGATGAGACGCTCCCCTACTATTGATGCTTTCTGCACCGCAGTGCTCCTGTGCCTCCTCCTCTCTTCCTTGTCCCTGCCCCCCCTGCAGCACCCCTCCCGCCCCGCCCGGCCCAATCTAGTGTCTCCCACGCCACTCAGTTCCCCTCGGTTCCCCCTGTGGGGGAGTCGGCAGACTCGGGGGGCCCAGCTGCTGGGGGTGCGCGTGCTGTCCCTGTGGTGCCTCCCCCAGCCTCGGTCCCCCAGGCCCCTCAGTCGCCTACTCCCTTGCCTCAGTAGAAGCAGCCGTCGCCGCAGCAGACTCCACGGCGGTAGTAGGGAGCAGTGGGCTCTGGGGGTGCTGGTTCTGGGGGTGCGAGTTCTGGGGGTGCTGACTCCAGGGGTGCTGGTTCTGTAGGTGGTGAGACCGAGGGTGGTAGTCTTGGGGGTGCTGTTTCGCGGCGTGCGGGTGGCAACTTGGGTGCCACTAGAGGTCCTGGAGCATGTAGGCAACATCAACAGCAGCAGCAGGTGCAGCCGCCGCAGCAGCAGCCGCCGCAGTCTGCCCTTCGTCTCCTTGGTCTTGCTCCAAATTCCCCTGTCCGCCCGCCCGTTCCCCCTCCGGTGCGTGACCCTATTGACGGCCCATTGTTTCCTCCTCCGGACTCCTCTCCGGCTCGTTTCCCCCTGCGCTCCCCTCCGTCCCCTGACCTGTCCCCCATCCCCCCTCGTCCCCAGTCCCCAGTTCTTCCCCACTGGGTTCGTCGCCCCTTTGGTGCTCGTCCTGTCTCTCCCCGTCCTAGTGTCCACCCTATGCTCCTTCGTTCGCGTGCTCCTCCCTTCCTAGTCCTCCCGTTGCCTCCCCTGTCGTCGCTACCATCGTCCCCCCCTCCTCGCTCCGACGCTATTCGCACTGCTCGTCCAATCCTGCCACGCCTGCTTGCGTCGCTTGTCACTGACCCTACTGCTCCTCCTGAGTCTGTCTCTACGCTGGTCGCTGCTGTCGCTGACTTTGCTGCTACCCACCACCTTGATTACCCTGCCACTCTGGTCTCTGGTACTGTCCGTCCTCCGTCCGTCGGGGGTGCACCTGCCCTTGGCAATGACGTGCTAGAAGACAGGCAGTACGAGTTGGCCTACCTTGCTGCCGCTGTTCCCCATCTCTGCTCCATGTTTGTATCCCCAGAGGGCGACCCAGACGCTCTCGACATTCCTGTTCTGCACTCTTCCACTGAGGCGGTGTTGGGCCCTAGGCAGCCTAGTGGATACAGGCCATGGAGACTGAGATGGCATCCTACAGATCCACTGGCACATACGTTGACGCAATTCCCCCGCCTTGGGCGAATGTAGTCGATGGCATGTGGATCTACAGGGTGAAGCGCGCACCTGGAGAGCCGCCGAAGTTCAAGGCGCGTTACGTGGCTAGAGGCTTCAGACAGCGTAAGGGAGTGGACTTCTTCCAGACCTTCTCCCCGACCCCGAAGATGACTACACTTCGGGTCCTTCTTCATATAGCCACACAGCGTGACTACGAGCTTCACTCACTCGACTTCTCCGCAGCGTTCCTGCAGGTTAGTCTGCACGAGCAGATCTACCTCCGGTGCCCTCTAGGCTTCTCTGGGTCCTTCCCACCTGGGACCCAGTGGAGCCTGCGCCGTCCTATCTACAGCCTTCGTCAGGCACCCCCGTCAGTGGCACGACACGCTTCGCACCACTCTTGCTGAGCTGCAGTTCTTTCCATCCTCTGCTGAACCCTCTCTCTTTGTTCGCACGG